CACAGCAACCACCTTAGTTACCAGATAACCTCTGGGAGCTTCAATCGGCACCATGTCTTCAGCTATAAACTCGGACGCTTGGACAGGATACAGAATAACTGGTGCGTTATCGTTCATGTCCTTAATGAAAACATTTACAGTACACGTGGTAGAAAGTGGAGGCTGGCCTCCATCTCGAGCTATTACCCTAATTTGAAAGTGGACCGACTGTTCGTAATCAAAGAGGCGCGATGTAAAGAGCTCACCTGTTTCTGAGTTTATTGTAAGAAATGACCACACATCAGAGTTTGAGTCCCTAGGTATGTGATATAATATTTTTGCATTAGCCCTGTCATCAACATCCTGTGCTTCAAGCTTCACCACAAACGTACCAACTGGTTGGTTTTCCAAAATGTTGGCATTGTACTGTTTCTGCATAAAAGTAGGTAGGTTGTCATTTACATCACTCACAACAATAGTTAGCACTTTGACGCTGGAGAGTGAGGGAGCGCCTGCATCAGTGGCAGTGATCGTTATGTTGTACTCTGGTTGTGTTTCCCTGTCTAACATCGTATTAGTAACTAACATATAATAGTTTTTGACCTCCGATACTAATTTAAATGAAACACTATCTGAAATTGAGCACGTGACACGCCCACTGCTGCCAGTGTCCAGGTCATAAATGTTAATCAGAGCAACCATAGTTCCTGGTTTAGCATCCTCGGACACTTTAGCAGAGGCTGATTTTATTTCTATTACTGGAGCATTATCATTCACATCAATCACATCGATTATGAGTTTGCAGTGAGAGGCCTGGCCTCCGCCATCTTTGGCTTGGACATGCAGCTCGTGGGAGCTTTCTTCTTCATAGTCAATAACACCTGCGACCAGAACCTCTCCGCTCTGAGGGTTGATTTCGATAACTCCTCCCATCGCGTCTGAGAGGTGACTGAAGGAGTAAGTTATCTCTCCATATACATCTTCATCCAGGTCCGTGGCATTCAGGGTTATAATGACAGTCCCTAAAGGGGAGTTCTCTGCCACAGATGCTTTGTAGACTCGTTGGCTAAAAACTGGGACATTGTCATTTGCATCCAAAACACGGATCTGGATAGAGGCAGTTCCTGACCTGACCGGATTTCCCCCATCAATTCCATTGATTTCCAGCAGATGTTCTGATTCCACCTCACGATCCAAAGGCTTTTTGAGAACAAGTTCCAGATAAGAATTTCCATTTATTTGGGTGCTCATTTCTAGTGCAAAATGATCATTCTGGCTCAGTTTATACTCACGGACAGAGTTAGTGCCCAAATCGGGGTCATACGCACTCTCAATAGGAAAGCGTCTCCCGAGAACTGTAGATTCAACTAAATCCAGTTTTATCTCCCTGGTTGTAAACACGGGGCTGTTGTCATTTATATCCACAATGTCCAAAACTAGGCTGAACGCTTGAAGTGGATCTTCAAGTAGAAGCTGAAACTGCAGAGTGCAGATGATGGCTTGTGCACACAGCTCCTCTCGGTCTATGCGTTGGGTGATCAAAAGATTTCCAGATGCAGCGTCAAGCTTACAGAGCTGGCTGGTTCCTTCTGCAACAACCCGGGCTCGATGAGCTTTAAGCTCCAAAGGCTCCAGCCCAAGATCATGTGCAACGTTCCCAATCACCGAGCCTCTCTGCATCTCCTCTGGAAGAACATACCGGAGCTCTCCAAACGAAACACCAAACAGGAGAGCTGACAGCAAGAAATCAATCCACCATGTTGGGTTCCTTCGACGATCCATCATACAACATGCTTTCAGAAAATGATACAACGTCGACATTATATTTAAATCCTCATCCAGCTGTGAGGCTGTAAACGCAGCAGTGATCCGACCACTCTCTACTTCCTTAGCTGAGTTATTCGTGCTCTATTAGAGATGCTGTCAGCTTGCATTCGTCTCTCTCTGCTCCCATTCCTCCACTGCTTATTTCTATCTCTCTATGACTCACACACTCTCACTAACACGCAGCCTCTTTCCTTCTCTCCCTCATGCACCCTGGCATAAATGCGCATCCATGCACAACTCTGCTGTAACCCACTTCTGCAGCTCAACTGACACAGATAGGGAAAAAATCTCTAAGTCAAGCATTATAGAAGAGCGTCACCAAGAGACTAAGAGCATTATTACAACCTACTTCATAGTAATAATAATAATAATAATAATAATAATTATTATTATTATTATTATTATTATTATTATTATTATTATTGCTATTATTATTATTATTATTATTATTATTATTATTATTATTATTATTATTAAATCCTGTTTCTCTAATTTTTATTTTACCACAGATGTGTTTAAATCCTACTGAAGTGATTACTGCAACGAAGAAGTCAGTACATAAAAAACTGGACTCAGATTCTGTTTAGAGCAGTGGTTCCCAATCTGAGGTACAGGACCTCCTAATTGGGTCCTGTTAAGGTTGCGGGGGGTCCTCACAATTTTGTCTGATTTGAGGTTGTGAAGTTACCAAGTTCAGATACAACTGATGACTGCAGAGTTATCTGCATGTTTTTGCATATGACAGGTCTCTGACTTGTACTAAAAGCCTGAAGTGTGTAGAGTAAAAAGGAACTGAGAGTTTTGTCAACTCAGTTCTCCACTCAGCCTTTTTTTATGAAGCACCTTACAGGCATGAAGCATGCCTGTAAGGTGCTGTACAGTAATACAATTAAACAAATAATAAACAACCAGTTGTTGCTAAAATGTGTAATAGTTGCATTGCCCTGATGTTATGATATTTCCATTATTAAGAACTAGCAAACAGATCCAAAAAAACAAACAAAAACAAAACGATGTATTTAGACTAACGCAAAAAGCACGAAAGCAAAATATTTTCGAAAGCAAAATATTTTGTTAAAGAAATAACCATAACATGAGAGATGTTCTATGCAGGCCTTTAGCAGGTGTGTGTGTGTGTGTGTGTGTGTGTGTGTGTGTGTGTGTGTGTGTGTGTGTGTGTGTGTGTGTGTGTGTGTGTGTGTGTGTGTGTGTGTGTGTGTGTGTGTGTGTGTGAGAAAACAAACAATGAGCTTTTTTCTTTGCTGTATTAATATTTTTTTTATAATCTGAGTGCTTGGTCTCTTGATTTGTTGACCACCAGTAGGCTTTGAACTAACAGGGAATTACTCTTTTCTTCTTAGTGTTTGCTGTTTCTGGTTGCTGCAAAAAAAAATAAAATAAAATAAAAAGGCTTAGAAGGGAAAAAAAAGACTAGAATCTAGAAATTGAGTATTGCTTAATTTCCCATTAGTGAAGCAAGAGACAACAGTGAACTATATAACCCACTGGAGGCAGGCGTTGTGGATTTTCAACATTAAAACCTACCTACCTGGTTACTCCACATACGTATTTCATGAGCATTTTTTAACTCAGAAGTACCCCTTAAAGATTTAGTTGTTCGTACTTTTATCAAAACTTATTTTGAGCCTGAGAGGGTTAATAAATCAAAGTCTCTAGATCAGATTAAGATCATTTTGGTGTTTGGTTAAATCATGTTTGTCTCAACCAAAGATGTTGATGTGTCAAAGATTGTTGTCAAGGATGTGGGTCGCACTAACCATTTCTCAGTTCCCTTTGAAAAACTGGTTCCACCTGTTACCCATCACACTTCAGTTGCTCTCTATCAGGGTATCTGAGTTATTATACTGCTTCAATCTTTATGGGAATTGTGCAAATGTCAGCAAGTCCAACAACTGACTGTGATAATTCACTTCTCACCCCTTCTTTCCACCGGAGCTGTCAGCAGCACGTTACTGCAGCAGCACGTCATAGCGGCTGATAGGAACCGCTGTGGTCAACAGAACCTTTTCCACTGTAACCGCCAGCAGCACGAGTCGGCCGCATCTCAGGAGCAGCATGTCGTGGCCCTTACGCGCCGTTTCTATTTTCTACGCGCGACGCCTCTGAAACTGGTCAAGTTTTACATTTTTGGGGAAGGAAAGACAGGAAATCGGACGCGGAAACGGAGCGAAGCTCCGGAGATTTTCAGAATAAAGAAACGTACTGCCTTCCGGTTGCTTTACTTTAAAAAAAGGTTACTAACTGTGCGTCCCCGTGAGAAGTTATCACCTAGCTAGTGGTCTCCTTTGTTTTTCAGGTCGGTATAGGCGATTATAAAATGGACAGAACATAAAACACAAACCTTTTGGAGCCATGTTGTAGTTTTCTCCTGCTTGTTGTTGTGTTTACTGACGAAGTCACTCGTGTGACTTCATGCTCTGTTGGTGACAGCTGCTCCCCTGCTGCTTCGCGTCTCGTGGGAAGGGCCAAGCAGCAGCTTACGCTAGCAAGACATGCTGCTGACGGCTCCGGTGGAAAGAAGCGGTCAGTCACGTCAGCTGCAAAATGAAGTCATTCACCCCATCATATCGAAAAGGTCAAACTATTCTTTAGAAAAGAAAAGTCCCCACGGCAAATTCAAAAGTGTTAATTTTCTGGTGTTGGTCCAATTAAACAACAATAATAGTTAATTTAACACTTGATATGTAACACTGACGTGAGAGTTAAAACCCAGAGTTAAAAATGAGTGTTTCCTAATCAACTTGTTAGGTGTTATTTAGGACAAATTAACTCCTGATCATCTAACTCTGAACTCCCACAGCAGCTGTAACACCTGTTAATTTGTAGCCTCCACCCTTTTATTCTAAAAGTTGGACTGGTAGTAACCTGCAGTGGGCGAGGTGCATTGTGGGTAGTCATGTTTTTAGATAGTTAGTACTATTTTGAGGTGTTTATGCATGTTGAATTTGAGGAGTTGTGTTGTTCTTAGTACTTTTTTTCACTGTTGCAAATGTGGTTTTGCTTGTTATGTCATGATTGTACCATGAGTGAGGAGGCCGGTCAAAAGAATGGGACCGCTGTGTGTTCGACGATCACAATAAAAATGTGGTGCAAGGTCCACACTACATGCTCTGGACTCTACTTGTTGTGATCCTCTCCCAGTGACTGATTACAGTCATGAGATGTACAAGGCTTGAGTTAGCCAGTGTCTGTTAGTGTAACTGGTGGCTTCCTGACATGGCACATTCTTCAAATCATGGTGTTGATTAATATCTTGAGTATAATAGTGACTCTGAATATTAACACTGGATACAGTGTACATGTTACACTGATTAGTGTTACATACATGTTAAAGTGACACCTTCAACACTAAACTGTCAAAGTACACTGGAAAGTGTCATCAAATAACACTATAAATGAGTTAAATTTTTAACGCTATCATAAGTGTAATTTTAACACTGGACTGGTGAGGATTATAAGCACTGTGATTGTGTTAAAAATAATAACATCCAAGTTAAATTTACACTGACAAACCTCAATGGTACCTGTTACAATTAAAAAAAGTGCAGGAAAGAGGAGCGTAAACGGAGGATAAGTAACCAACCAGGTCACTATGCCGTTTTCAGAGAGAGATTTTGCACTTACAATTCTGAATGAAATAAGGTAAGACATGCCTTTTTCTTCAAAGTCATCAGTGGTAATAACCAGAGATGGGACATTGTGGCATCAACAAGTCATCTCCATGCTGTGTTTTTCTTCAGTTTAGCAACGAAACCAGGTGATTTCAATCAGCACAGTGAAAGAACCTTGTTCAGTTGCTGAGCAGAACAAAATCATGGCATGGAGATGACTTGTTGATGCCACAATCCCCCGCTCTTGTAATAACAATTCCTGATTGCCAATGATGTGCTATCACCCAGCAAAGTTATCCCCTGATTTCTTATCCCTAACTAAGTGCAATGAGTTTGCACCTTTTTCAGTGAGAAAATAATAACCATCAGATGGGCCATTCATTCCTCCATATCAACCAACAGAACCAGACCACTGCTACAGCCACACAGCAACAACCTGGCTAGAATGTTACAGGTGCTACTGTATATTCAGTGTGATTAGTGCAAAAACACATGAGGATGCAGTTATGGCCCTAAACTCATCTACCTGCTGTCTGAACACTCTGCTAATGCACTACTTTAAGATGTCAGCAGTTGAATGAAAGCTGATGTACAGAAAATTAACTGTTTGTTAATGAGTTGGGGGTTTGGGGTTGTATTTGTTTTTGAAACTATTGTTAGGCCTACCGAACACTGGTGCCACTGGTCCCTCCGACCCCCAAGTCAGGTTGAGTGTCTTGCCCAAGAACACATCAGCAGCATTCTCTGTTCAGAGCTGGGATCAACCCTGCAACCTTCTGATAACTGGATAATCCGCTACTCCTGAGCTACTGCTGAAGAGTAAACAATCCTTCTGTTGAATAATTACAGACCAATCTCTTATCCTCCTTTCAAGTAACTCGAAAAGTAGATATGATACAGCTGAAAAATGACTTGGGTACAACCTTTTGAGTGGTTTGCAGTCAGGCTTTAGACAACATTTTAGCAAAGAGACAGCACTGATTAAAGTATACATTATCTATCCATCCATCCATTATCTGAACCCGCGTGTCCATGCAGGGTCATAAGGGGGCTGGTGCCTATCTCCAGCAGTCAATGGGCAAACAGGCGGGGTACACCTATGACAGGTTGCCAGTCCATCGCAGGGCAACACAAAGGCACACAGAACAAATAAACCATACCATACCATCTTTATTTATAAAGCACATTTAAAAACGGCATGGCAGCCGACCAAAGTGCTGTACAGAATAAAAAGTAAAAACACAATATAAAACAATACACGGTCAACAATAAAATGCACAACAAGGCAGATAATTACAGTCAATAAAAAGACACATAATAAAATAATAAAAGTCAGGGATTTAAAAATGCCTGGTCGTAAAAGTGAGCCTTCAGCAGCGATTTGAACCAGAGGGATGGTGCCAGCCTCACCGAAAGAGGAAGTGCATTCCATAGTGTCGGAGCAGCATAGACAAAAGCACACTGCCCCCGCATTTTGTATTTCATTAATGGAACACGAAGCAGCAGGCAATCAGCAGACCTCAATGCCCGGTTTGGCACATATCTAGTGACAAGATCTGACAGGTAATCCGGTGCCAGACCATTCAGGGCCTTAAAAACAAAAATCAGGATTTTAAACTTGACCCTAAAGTTTACGGGTAGCCAGTGGAGCTGCGCCAGTACAGGTGTGATATGTTCTCTCCTAGGAGTGTTTGTTAAAAACCTGGCTGCCGCGTTTTGTACGACCTGAAGCCTGTTAAGAGCGGAGGCAGGTAAACCAATTAAAATGGAATTTGCATAATCCAGTCGAGAGATGATAAAAGCATGGATTACGGATTCCAGGTGTGCTCGTTTCAGGATCGGTTTTAAGCGGACTAGTCTGCGCAGCTGATAAAAACACGATCTGACCACTGCATTAATCTGAGAGCCCATGGAAAACTGTGTATCACATTTCAATCAAAGACAGACACTCACACCCAGGTTTTGGGCTGTGGGAGGAAGCTGGAGTACCCTAAGAGACCCCACACATGCACAGGAAGTACATGCAAACTCCATGCAAAAAGCCCCAGGCTGGGTTTTGAACCCAGAACCTTCTTGCTGCATGGCAACAGCGTTAAATACTGCACTGCTGTGCAGCCCAGTCATACCATATTTTTATGTCAATAGAGATTCAGGCAGCAACATCTGTGCTGGTGATGGGTGATCCTGCTACAGTTTTGACAAGACCTAAAAGACTCAGGCTTGTTCTTAAATCTCTACACTGGCTACCAGTCAATTTCATAGATAATTTCAAAATGCTACTGTTAGAAATCACTCAGCGGCACAGGGCCAAAATATATAAATGCATGTCAGTTTCCTTTAAAAAAATATGTTTGCAGCAGGACTATGAGAACCTTGGGAAGCAGTGAGGTGGTAGAAGCCCTGGCCAGAAGACACAAGGTGAAGCTGCTATTAGCTATTATGCTGCAGACATGGAATCGGCTCTGTTATGACCTCCAATGTGCCTAAACTCTAGTAACTTAAATCCAAATAGAAAATTCTGATGCTGTCTTGCCTTTAATAGGCAACAGTTACATTATGGGAATTATAATGAAAAATTTAGTGCTGAATAAACTGTTGACAAAAATGACGTACTAGTTACTTATACAAGAAAACTTTTATCAATCACATTAAAGCTTTAATTCTTCAAGCAACCTTAATGATCACATCCTGAAAGAATAATTACCAGGGCAGAGTAAAGTATAACTAACTAAGATGTGCAATGAAAAAAATGTGTTTGATATATTAAAGAACACAATTTCCTACATCAGGAGGGTTACAATATGTGCAAAAGAGTGAAAATGTGTGTGTATGATTTCAGTTAAATGCCTACCTCAGGGGAAGAATCACAACTTCCAAACACATCAGCAAACTCAGAGGGACTTTTCTTCAGAGTCTGGTCAGCAGGCAGCGTGTTGTCATTGTAAGATGACACAAACTTAAAGTCACTGGTTCTAGATCCTGTTGTCAGGTAGGCGTCAAAGTTGTAGGAGCTGCGTAAAGTTCCTGTTCCATCAACATCTGCGTAATTAGGAGGGAGATAAGCTCCGGGAATGGCCACTGCTCCATCAAACAACAGTCTGGGCTTTCTCCTGCGACAAAACCTCACACCCAGGACGATGATGATGAAGGTCAGGAAGAAGGTGGACACACACACCAGCGCAATGATCAGATACGAGGTCAGTTTGGAGTTCTTGTCATCATAAGAAATATCTTTCAGCTCTGGCACCTCAGCCAAGTTATCAGAAATCAGTAAATGCATGGCACAGGTGGCAGACAGAGAGGGCTGTCCGTTATCTTTCACTGCTACAATCAGGTTCTGTTTCATGCTGTCAGATTCTGAAATGTCCCGCTGCGTCCTGATCTCTCCGCTGTGCACACCGATAGTGAAAAGTCCCGGATCAGTGGATCTGACTATCTGATAGGACAGCCAGGCGTTCTGTCCAGAGTCCGCGTCCACCGCTATCACTTTGGACACCAGAGAGCCTCCGTGTGCAGCTTTGGGGACCAGCTCGGTCATGAAGGAGCTGCCCTCCGGGGCGGGGTACAGTATCTGAGGAGAGTTGTCATTCACATCTGATACGAACACACTCACGGTCACGTTGCTGCTGAGAGGAGGAGAACCGTTGTCTCTGGCCATCACGTGGACTTTAAAACTCCTCAGCTGTTCATAATCAAACGACCTGACAGCGTGGATCACCCCCGTGTCTCCGTTAACTGATAGATAGGAGGACACCGACGCACCGTTCACCTCAGCAGGTAACAGAGAATAAATCACGGTACCGTTTTGTCTCCAGTCCGGGTCTCGAGCACTAACGGAACATAAAGTGGAGCCAGGTTTGTTATTTTCACTCACATACGCGCTGTAGGACTGCTCCTCAAACACAGGTGGGTTGTCGTTGATGTCAGCTACAGATAACTGAACAGTTTTAGAGGAGGACAGAGGTGGAGAGCCCTCGTCAGTGGCACTGATTGTAATGTTGTAATCAGACACTAGTTCACGGTCCAGCTGTCCTGTGGTCACCAGAGAATAATAGTTTTTAATAGAAGGAACCAACTTAAAAGGAACGTTCTGCTGAATGGAGCAGCGGACCTGTCGGTTCTTCTCAGAGTCTCTGTCCTGCACGTTGATGATGCCCACCTCTGTACCAGGTGAGGTGTCTTCTGGTATGGGAGTGGTCAGTGATTTCACATTAATGACAGGGGCGTTGTCGTTCACATCAGTAACAGAAATGATGACTTTAGCATAAGATGAAAGCCCAAGACCATCCTTTGCTTTAACACGAATTTCATATGAGGAAGTGGTTTCATAATCAACAGAACCAATTAAAACTATTTCACCACGTTTACGATCAATGCTGAATATTTTTCTCACCTCATCAGACACGTGACCAAAATCATAAGTCACATCTCCATTCAGTCCCTCATCAGCATCAGCTGCACTAACTGTGACCACTAGAGTGTCTAAAGGAGAGTCTTCAGGCAGACTGGCTTTATAAACCTCCTGACTGAACACTGGGGCGTTATCATTAGCATCCAGCACAGAGACATGAATGACTACTGTACCTGATCTCTGAGGAGATCCCCCATCTAAAGCTGTCAGCAGCACATTTATTTCCTTGTACTTTTCACGATCAAGCTCCTTATCCAGAACAAGCTCTATTTTATTTCTATCAACAGCTAAAATAAAATGATCGTTCCTTTCAAGGCTGTACTGCTGAACTGCATTCTGTCCTACATCTGCATCATGCGCCTCCTCCAGCACAAAACGAGCTCCTCTGACTGCAGATTCCCGAATTTCTAAACTGATAATTTTTTCGTTGAACTGTGGCGCGTTATCGTTAATATCCTGAATATGAAGGCTGACCCGATGGAGCTCTAGAGGGTTTTCCAGCACGAGCTCCTGTTTCAGGATGCACGAAGCCTTCTCACCACAAAGGCCCTCACGGTCAATCCTGTCGGCCACAATCAGCTCTCCGTTATTCAGGTTTACATCGCAGTAACGTTTTTCAGGCCCGTCGGTGTCAATGCGGGGTCTCCTGTTAGTGAGCGCTCCCGTCTGCAGCCCGAGATCCTTGGCGACATTCCCAATGACTGATCCTCGTTTCATCTCCTCCGGGAACGAATAGCTCACGTCTCCGTGCGCGATATGGAACCACAATAAGGACAAATAAATTGCACAGAACTGCACAGAGGCAATCAGAGAAACCATCATTCACGAAGAATTAGCATCCAGTTTGAAAAAAAGAAAATGATTAACAGACAACGCAGCGCAACCAGCAGCTGACCGATCCGCCACGCATTTGAGAAGCACAAGAATGTGGCCACGACAAACGCAAACGGAACTTAACGTTATTGAGCTAACATAGAGCGCCACCGTGAGTTAAAACAACATATAACTAGTATTCATAAAATGTAATTTTGAATGTAATGTTCATGCTTCACTAGCAACCAAACGGGTTTGAAAAACGGACAACATGAAACAAAAAAACTATAAAATTATTTGTTTTAAAAGCAATTGTATTATCACTCATCCTTGTCATCAAATGTAAGTTTGTTGTTTGTTAATAACTATGAGAGTGATATTAAAAAATCCCCTTTCAAATAATTTAATCATGATGTTTAGGAGCACTCTGACATCATTATTTTATGCACTTGCACCTACATTTTCCTTTATTGTGAGGTTTACCTTTGATGACCAGACATGCAATAATAATCTTTATAAGAATGTTTGTGTATTTTGTTTATTTTCTGTCACATGTGGTTGTCTCTATGATACGTTTCAGATTGGCAGATATAGAAGATTTGCACAAATCCACAAAAGATAAGCGTTTTCTTCTGTAGCCGTGAGTTTAATTTTGAAAAGAAAAAGGTAGATTTTCAAGTACTGAAATTACTTAGAAATGAAAATCTTATCAGTAAGTTAAAAACAGAAAATGCCCATACTGCTAAAATGTCTACAATTAACAGAATATGTTCTGGATCTTATGGGAAGCACTGCATTGAAAAAGAGGCAACACAATCTAATGCTAAAGAAAAGCAGGCAAGCATGAAAAAGATTCCTATTTAAAGAAAACTTCTTGATGTCAGCCCAAAACACATGATTGAATAAGATTTGTATATAAGGCTTTGCAGTACAACATTAGATTAGAAAGTATGCATTAGTAAGACTTAAAAGGCTCCAGCATATGCAAATGATTAAACAACAAAACAAATTAAGTGAGAAACACTTATTAAAGACAAAAACCTTTAAAGTGACTTCTCAGCTCCTTGAAATAACTTCATTTTGAAAATGGATGAACAAAAGCATTAATGTCATTTAGAGAAAGCTATTTGAAAAGCCTCACCTTGGATAAAATGACTCAAAAATTACCAAAGCAGAAAGTAGTAAGTGATACATCCAGCCAAGATTCCTCATTTCTGACAGAATGAGTCTGTGATGTTAAAATTAAAGAAGTGTCACAGTTCAAAGTATTGAAAAAAAATCGCCTTTTCGATCAGCAGTTTGGTCACCAATCTGGGCGGGGAAAAAAAACACTTGCTCATTTAAACATAATTGTTCATAAAAACTACAAACAACTTACAAGCTAAAGCTTTACGAAGAAACACACCTCTACATAGAGCGACCAGATCCCAACTTGCCAAATGTGGGACAATGGGAAGTTCCAATGTAATGAGAAAAACAAACTAAATGTATACTCTGCCTTTTAGCCCTAACATCACTATTACATATACATAAAATTATATTATTATCATCATATACTTCTTGTATGTATTTTATTTGAATTCAACAGGAACAAGCTTCCACAGTTCGTCTCAAGTTACCACAACATAACTCAGGCTCTTTGGGCCTTCTGTAGTGGCTCTGATCATTTTAATAATATAGAAAGACCCACAATAATAAACAAATGCAGGTTTAAGCAGCTTTTCAGAGTTTTCATTGAATGTTTTCTACAACAGAATGACAGTAAAATTACCAGTAATATTTTTAGATCTATTTATGTTTGTCTTTAATTAATTTTCCACTAAAATCCACATCTCATAGAAAAAGTAGCCATGCTGTTTTGCAATATTTTTCATAATTCAGAAACAAAACTTTTTTTTACATGACAACAAATCTCTTCTAGATTTTAGGTGAGAGAATAAACAACAGATTCTAATCTCTAAAAAATCAGATTTAATCTAATAAGATTCTTAGAGTTACTTTTTGCCTCAAATTTCTGAGAATAAGTGATCGCAGCTTCCTTTTATTCCCTCATTATGTCTTCACTGTGCTTTAAGGGGCTCAGCATGTAGGTATCTGAAACCGCAGCACCTTGTATGTGTTAGAGGCTCCATTGTGTTTATCATGGACCTGTCTAATTACTGGAAAAACTGCTTTTGACCTCTTCATATCAGACTCTGCGCCAAATGACCCACACTTGTATGGGGCCTCTCAGAGTAAGGACTCCAAAGTGCTTTACACTACAGTGTATCATTCATCCATTCACACACTGATGGTGATGAGCTACTGTAGCCACAGCTGCCCTGGGGCGGACTGACAGGGAATGACTCATACAACAAGGACTCTGTCGAGTATCTCTGAACACATTTAATTCATGAGTTTACAGCATTTTCTCCTCTGTGCTCACTCACACGTGTTTTGGTGGTTTGGGTGCACGCTCCACACACGCTCCGGATCTGCGTTTAAAGTCCCGCCTCCATTTAATTGACAGCAACAGGCATATTTCTCCACAGTTTCTTCTATAAGATTGAAATTCAAAACACGAAACTGTCAATAATGCGGGACATGTGGTCACCCTGCCTCTAACTTATTCACATTTAAAACAAACATAGTTATATTAAAAGCTAGAAAAATAAAACAACAATCATCATCATCATCATCCTCATCATCATCCTCATCATCATCATCATCATCATCGGCATCAGCTTTATTTCCAAAGCCCCTTCCATGAACCAGGAGACACTGACATGATTTTAGTTGTCCAGGTAGCTCTCTGAAATTTAATTATTGAGATATGCGATTGTTTGTTTTGCACTATCCTACATGGTACTACTGTAGATCATTTTTTTAATGTATATATTGTATATCATATTTCTATTTCGCCTGTTCCTTTGTCTCTCCGAATGCTTTGAGCATGTACATGACACAAAAATTTCCCTCGGGATAAATAAAGTTGTTCTTATCTTATCTTATCTTATCTTAAAACCCACATTGAAAACAAACAATATGCATTTTAAAGATGTTGAACACTTACATTTGCAGTGATCTCTAGTAGGAATTGTAAATTTTCCTCTGGGGACAAAAAACCCCAGTGCACCAGTTTCAGCAACTAGCAGATTTGGAGTCCTATTTCTTGATATTTGGACATCTCACCTCGGACTGGCTAACAGCAACACCACTCCACCAATGACTCAGTTTGCTCTGCAAAGTTGATGTTTTATTTCCACTAATAACACAAGCCTGAAGGAGTTCTGCCATGCAGTGGAGTTGCTAATCCTTAGCTTCTACTGGTTGAGAAGTTCTCTGCTGTTTCCTGGACTCTAAACAAACTTGTGACAGCCTTCCCTTTAGCAAGTCAAGATGATGTGTCAGGCTTTCCTAGAATTTCACTCTATTTTCTAGAAGCTAAAGCAGAAGTTTGGTGTAGGAGTGTATGTTCATGCTCTGCCTGCATTAAAAACTGACTGATTATAATCAGACAAACTAATTAAAACATGTTTTTTCAGTGTTTATAGTTACTCAGGTTTGCTTAATAATCAGCAACATCCCGACTAGCCAGAATATGATAAAAATGTTAAAATCACCCTTAAGTCAGTATTTCAATAAATATTGCCAGTGACGCAGAGTTAAAAAGGGACAGTAAGATCAAAAGTAAAAAATAAATAAATAAATCAGCTAAAAATATATTTTATAGCACCCATTCCATAAAAGCTTAGTAGCATCTGTGGCATTTTCATTTTATTTTCCTGTTCTTGGAAGCATGTCAACCCTGACAATCTATCAGTCCGAAAATGTGACACCTCCCCCAACCAAACATTAGTCTGGTGTGTTAAGACAATAATGTGCCATATCAATACACAACTGCCAAAGTTTGAGCACCAAACCAAAAAACAAAGACTAAGTTAAATGTAACCACAAATTGTTTGTCAAGTATAATGTTTTAGATCATCATGCTTCTCTGAATGTGTTTCCTGTAAAGTAGTGGATGACTAAATACTTTTCTTTTTCACAAGGCAAGTTTTGTGACATTCAGTGTTTCAGGATTGACCTTTGAGAAGCATCTGCTGCTGGGCGACAAACAAGGGTGGAGGTTAAAATCAGTGTAGCTTTGCATCTTGCTACCATGCACCTAGCATTGTTTCATTATCCAATGTGGCACTCAGGACCACATTACTCACTAGAATAGCATTCCATTCCAGCACTATTTCAATCTTTCTTATAATGGAACGAGGCAGTCACTGTGGCAATGTCCATAATGGGGGAAATCAGGTGGCTGCACCACCGCTTACACCTGATTTTGTCAACAATAAGAAAGTCAAATCCACTTTGCCCGTGTTCTCTGCACATCAGTACGACCACCTTCAATAGTTTTGTTACCTTTCTCTTACAATCCCATGCACCTTTGATTCTAGGTGACTAAATGTGTTCCGATGCACCTGTGAAAGGTAGGGATTGAGCAGTTTCAGGCCAAGACACAAAAGAAAGGATGATTTCTCAAACCATCAAAAAACCAGGAATCATACATTTTCACATATTAAACACACACACACACACACACACACACACACACACACACACACACACACACACACACACACACACACACACACACGCACACGCACACACGTGCACACATTATATTCTCTTTCTACCAACTGATCTGTGCTGATTAAACAGTCCCTTGGGTGCGGTGAGATGCAGACACAGCCATGCTTGAGAACCATTTGGTGGTTTAACCCCCCAATCCAACCCCTTAATGCTGAGTGTCAAGCAGGGAGGGATTGAGTCCCATTTTTCCAAAGTCTTTGGTATAACCCGACCAGGTAATCGAACCCTGATCTCCCAGTCTCAGGGCGGACACTCTACCACTAGGCCACTGAGCTGGCCAATTCATACATTGCACATCGTTTTCACACAATATGCAGTCAGTCAACAAATTTCCATATTGCTTACAGTGGCTTGACAGAGAAGCTATTCCTCCCAACAAAACTATGGATTGTTTTTGTAGTATTTGTGAATGATAACACACAACATCCCGCAATAGCGAAAACATTATTCCTAACCTTTGATGCAGTACAAAAACCTCTGCTTCTGCAATAATGAGTTCAAAAACAATATAGCTCAGTTGATGATAAACAAACAATTGAATAATTTACACACAGCTGATGTATATCGGGTAAATCGGGCCTACCACAGCTGATTACATTCAGGCTTAGACTGAGTGGCAAGTGTTATTTTTTCTATTACATTGTCACTAAAATAAAAGGAGGACTTTGAGGTGTCATGTTTTTGGAAACAGAAACATAAAAGACAAACACTGCATGAAGAGTAAGGGAAAGGGGCCAAGGGAGATGAGCACATGTCCCTCCTGGAAGCGGAGGATGCTGGCTGCAGGGGCATCATGGTTGACTATTGCCAAGGGTGGATCTGACATAGCAAGCGGTTTTATCCCAGGTGCATTGCTTTGGATGATATCAGATGTGATGCTGATGAAAACATGTTGCCTAACCCTGAAGATCGCAGAGATTAGCTACAGTAATTTTGTGTGTTTTGTAGTTGCCTCCTCTTTTTCTGGGCTTTGTGCTGTTTTTTTGTTCAGAATGCTCTTGTTTGTTCCAATGATATTTTGTTCACTACCAGCAATACTGTAGAACTTTTTCTGTCCTGTCATACTGCAAACATTATTTCTGCTTTATATTCTCCTGAAATAAGCAGTAAAGGAAAAAAATGGATTTGCTTTTACTGGAATGTTTTGAAATGTGCACATACAGTTCAGAACCAAGTGTAGTGTAAAATCGGGGGATTGGATGCAGATACCTCTAAAACTGAGACATAAAACTCTTTCTCTCTTTCTCTCTTTCTTTCTTTCTTTCTCTCTTTCTTTCTTTCTTTCTCTCTTTCTCTCTTTCTCTCTTTCTTTCTTTCTCTCTTTCTCTCTTTCTCTCTTTCTCTCTTTCTTTCTTTCTTTCGAATTTAATGCATGTCTCAATCCCATACATGGACTAAAACTTGCTCAACCAAGTGACTTGCTATGTCAGTTAAAGAGTCAAATAGGTAACGGTCAAAATATGGTTTGTGAATATTAAAAGTAAAAAAAAAATAACAATATAAACTATGGTGATTTATCTAACTATTTTAAAGCACCAAAACTGGAAGCATAGCAGTAAACTAATATCTTATAAAGAAATAATAAATAAAATAAAAGACAGTTAAACTGTTGGCAGGCAAATCATTTCAGCAAAAGAGTAGAGGCGTACCTGGTATAAGTTGTTGCCTGATCTTATAGTTTTTTTCTGATTTTTGCTGAAGCACTAAACTCCATTCTCCAAACCAAATTCACTAAATCTTCAACAAACTTTTTTAATCATCGATAGTTTTGGCCAAGCAATATTTAGTTCCTTGGACACAGATAGCAAAAAGCATTCACTCCTTGTGTAGTGTCTAATAAATGTTGTAGTGAATTTATTTTTACTTGCTTTGAATATGATGAGAACACATTCTCATGCGATGGTTTGATTTGATTGAAAATTCAGAGATTTTGTGAATATATGAGTTTTGGATTTGTGTTCAAGATTTTGAGACAATAGGCTAACGTTTCATTACACGTTTAAGTATTTCAGAGAAACTGTTTAAAAAAAAGGAAACTGCTGGCAGACATATTAATTAAGCACCAAGGACAGTGGCATAACCAAAAGCCGTTGTTTCAGTTATTTATGGTACTTTAGTGTTGTCAACAGAATAATTAAAAAGCTTTGTTGAAGCAAAATACAAAAAATGAGGGTAATAACATACATGTTTTAAGTTGAATGCCTACCTCTGGGGAAGAATCAGAGTCTCCAAACACATCAGCAAACTCAGAGGGACTTTTCTTCAGAGTCTGGTCAGCAGGCAGCGTGTTGTCATTGTAAGATGACACAAATTTAAAGTCACTGGTTCTAGATCCTGTTGTCAGGTAGGCGTCATAGTTGTAGGAGCTGCGTAAAGTTCCTGTTCCATCAACATCTGCGTAATTAGGAGGGAGATAAGCTCCGGGAATGGCCACTGCTCCATCAAACAACAGTCTGGGCTTTCTCCTGCGACAAAACCTCACACCCAGGACGATGATGATGAAGGTCAGGAAGAAGGTGGACACACACACCAGCGCAATGATCAGATACGAGGTCAGTTTGGAGTTCTTGTCATCATAAGAAATATCTTTCAGCTCTGGCACCTCAGCCAAGTTATCAGAAATCAGTAAATGCATGGCACAGGTGGCAGACAGAGAGGGCTGTCCGTTATCTTTCACTGCTACAATCAGGTTCTGTTTCATGCTGTCAGATTCAGAAATGTCCCGCTGCGTCCTGATCTCTCCGCTGTGCACACCGATAGTGAAAAGTCCCGGATCAGTGGATCTGACTATCTGATAGGACAGCCAGGCATTCTGTCCAGAGTCCGCGTCCACCGCTATCACTTTGGACACCAGAGAGCCTCCGTGTGCAGCTTTGGGGACCAGCTCGGTCATGAAGGAGCTGCCCTCCGGGGCGGGGTACAGTATCTGAGGAGAGTTGTCATTCACATCTGATACGAACACACTCACGGTCACGTTGCTGCTGAGAGGAGGAGAACCGTTGTCTCTGGCCATCACGTGGACTTTAAAACTCCTCAGCTGTTCATAATCAAACGACCTGACAGCATGGATCACCCCCGTGTCTCCGTTAACTGATAGATAGGAGGACACCGACGCACCATTCACCTCAGCAGGTAACAGAGAATAAATCACGGTACCGTTTTGTCTCCAGTCCGGGTCTCGAGCACTAACGGAACATAAAGTGGAGCCAGGTTTGTTATTTTCACTCACATAAGCGCTGTAGGACTGCTCCTCAAACACAGGTGGGTTGTCGTTGATGTCAGCTACAGATAACTGAACAGTTTTAGAGGAGGACAGAGGTGGAGAGCCCTCGTCAGTGGCACTGATTGTAATGTTGTAATCAGACACTAGTTCACGGTCCAGCTGTCCTGTGGTCACCAGAGAATAATAGTTTTTGATAGAAGGAACCAACTTAAAAGGAACGTTCTGCTGGATGGAGCAGCGGACCTGTCGGTTCTTCTCAGAGTCTCTGTCCTGCACGTTGATGATGCCCACCTCTGTACCAGGTGAGGTGTCTTCTGGTATGGGAGTGGTCAGTGATTTCACATTAATGACAGGGGTGTTGTCGTTCACATCAGTAACAGAAATGATGACTTTAGCATAAGATGAAAGCCCAAGACCATCCTTTGCTTTAACACGTATTTCATATGAGGAAGTACTTTCATAATCAACAGAACCAATTAAACCTAATTCACCACTTTTACGATCAATGCTGAATATTTTTCTCACCTCATCAGACACGTGACCAAAATCATAAGCCACATCTCCGTTCAGTCCCTCATCAGCATCAGCTGCACTAACTGTGACCACTAGAGTGTCTAAAGGAGAGTCTTCAGGCAGACTGGCTTTATAAACCTCCTGACTGAACACTGGGGCGTTATCATTAGCATCCAGCACAGAGACATGAATGACTACTGTACCTGATCTCTGAGGAGATCCTCCATCTAAAGCTGTTAGCAGCACATTTATTTCCTTGTACTTTTCACGATCAAGCTCCTTATCCAGAACAAGCTCTATTTTATTTCTATCAACAGCTAAAATAAAATGATCGTTCCTTTCAAGGCTGTACTGCTGAACTGCATTCTGTCCTACATCTGCATCATGCGCCTCCTCCAGCACAAAACGAGCTCCTCTGTCTGCAGATTCGTGAATTTCCAGACTGACAATTTTTTCGTTAAACTGTGGCGCGTTATCATTAATATCCTGAATATGAAGGCTGACCCGATGGAGCTCTAGAGGGTTTTCCAGCACGAGCTCCTGTTTCAGGATGCACGAAGCCTTCTCACCACAAAGGCCCTCACGATCAATCCTGTCGGCCACAATCAGCTCTCCGTTATTCAGGTTTACATCGCAGTAACGTTTTTCAGGCCCGTCGGTGTCAATGCGGGGTCTCCTGTTAGTGAGCGCTCCCGTCTGCAGCCCGAGATCCTTGGCGACATTCCCAATGACTGATCCTCGTTTCATCTCCTCCGGGAAAGAATAGCTCACGTCTCCGTGCGCGTTAAGGAACAGAACAGCGGAAAGGCAGCTTAAAAACAAAACTGTCTTCATTGTAAAATGCATTTTTAAATTATTATAGTTTCTGCCGACACGTTCAAAAATGCACTATTCTGAGAAGATTACCAGAATGACAGCAATCATCTCGTCCTTATGTCTGCCGATTCTCAACGGAACAAGGACTGGATGAAAAACGCCTTCAGTCCACAAAAAATAAAACAGGTAATATTTAACGCTGGTGGATAGCGCCACCGTGAGTATTTTTGCGAAACCACAAATTAATACAAATATTTAATACCTAACATCTAAAATAAAATAACAAATTGTGCTCAGCCTTCACATATTTTTCTTTTGTGTCAATGGTAAGTATTTTTTTAGAAGCAATGTTTGGATGTACTATCATAATATAAAAAAAATCCCCTTTTGAAACTTAAAACTTTGAAATATTTCAATGGTCCTTGCATTTCTGTAAAGACCTCAAATCATTGCAACCTGTTAGTGAGACATAGATCAGCGGTGCATTGACCAACATCGGAGACTATGGGATAAGATGTAAAACTAAGTTTTATTTTTGCAATAGCCTAACACAAAAATACTTGCCCAAGAATACACCAACGTATTCAATTAAAATCAGGGATCTGCTCAACGGCAGTTCTAACTCATGACCAACAAAGCTGCAGTTTCAGGAAATTTGTAAAACATACAAGAAGAACCAGCTAATACAGCTAAATACTTCTCTTTGAGTTTAGATAGTCACGGCAATATTCAGCAGAAGTTTGCTTTATTGAACAAATTGTTTTTCAATAGTAATCAATTTTCTGTTGGCACTTAATCATATCAGTTGCCAGAAGGACCTGGTGGCTTTGGATTGTGATCAACAGGTTTCAGAGGAGAAGTAAAACCACTGGACTCACAGATTCCCATTGAAACCATTTGCAAATTTACTCAAACTTGTTTGGTGCAACAGCCACCATGCATGTGGAAGGAAAACAGACCAGCTGGCCCAGTGACACTCACTCATGCACTGGGAGAACATACACACTAAAGGGCCCAGGTGAGCTGCACAAATACAGATGTCCACCTGAAGGACAACGCTGCTCCACCTTTCCGCTTCCACTCTTTAACAGAAGAAAACAACAAGGAAACATCATGCATCATCATCCTGCTAGTTTCACCTTACTAATTTGTGAGTTTATGGCTTTTCTTTGACAGTATAATTATTCCCTGTCTTTTCTCAGCTCCACAATTTACCAGGTGTAACCCACACAAGCATCTCAAATAAACCAGGCTATGATGCACAATGATCCAAGAATCACGTACAGCTTGGAGAAAAAAAGTTCTGAAAAAACAAACTAAATAAAAAAACTAAGAAAAAGTGAAATATACTCTGTGCATTTCTCATTTGGATACTGAATTGTCAATTACCTTAGTTTTTGTCCAAATAAATATGAAATCATAGCAATTAAATAAGTGATTATGAGGTTTTTTTTTGTGACTTTCCAACACCCTCAGGTCTCCCTTTTCTCAAAATAACTTTAATCTATGTTGACACATAATTTACAATTTAGAAACCGGCATTTATTTTACAAAATTAGCAAAGCTCCTAATTTATGAATAGATTTTAACATGCATTTATTAAAGTCACATTACCGTTTTTTTTTTACTCTAGAACAACTCTGAACTGAAGCAAAAAACCAAAGGAACTATTCAAAACTCTTTGGACTTTTTAGCAATCCATCTTTTTTCTGAGCTCTGTCATCATCATGTTTAATCAAGAGTCTGGGAGTTAGTATAATATGGACAGAAACAAGATTTCTCTAGTAGTACATTTCAAAGAGGTATACCGAGTGTGACAAGATGTTTTAACAATCAGAGTTAACTTGTCAACATCATCAACAATAAATTATACCCCACATTTAGACAACTCACCCATTTATCTTTATTTCCGCGAATTTAGATAAAACCCCAAACAAGCATAAGCTTTTAATACAAATGCTAGTAAAGCACGCAATTTATGTTCAATCTTTGGGTTTTGTCCCACTCAAATGTAACCGATTTATGTTTATGTTTATGCATTTAGCAGACACTTTTGTCCAAAGCGACTTACAAGTGATAATCGGCATGTTGCCCTTGAGGCTAACAACAACAATGCCAACAACAACTTGACATCAATCATGGAGAGGACGGAACAAGGAGTGGACAGTAGAGAGGGGGGACGGGTGCAGGGAGGGTGCTAGTTTAGAAGATGCTCTCTGAAGAGCAGGGTCTTCGGGAGTTTCTTGAAAATTGAAAAGGAAGCAGCAGTTCTGGTAGTGCTTGGTAGGTCATTCCACATTTGTGGAATGATGCATGAGAAAAGTCTGGATTGTCCCGAGCGTGGTGTAGGCACTGCTAGCCAACGATCTTGTGATGACTGGAGCGGCCAGGCCAAGACATAAGTCCTTGCAAGAGGATTCAGGTATTTAAAAGTTTGATCTCTGAAAATTGTAGCTAAGTTGTTCAGATTAGCCTAAGATTCCATCACTTTGTATACAAAAAGGATTTGATCACACAAATTAAACTATTGAGTTGCTTACAAGTTGTTGCATTCTATTCATCTTAATGTCCCAAGTCAAAAATGACCAGTCATTTGAAATGATTGGAGTAAACACATTTTTATGTAAAACCTAAGCTGGCATGGCGCTGCCCTACAACAAATTGGTAGCAAAGCCGCAAAACGTAATCTACACCTGACAAAAGTTTAGTGATGTAGAAAAATTGTTGCAATTCTCTGTCAGAACTGTCAACACTGCTGTTTCTGCAGCAGAGAAGCTAATGGGCAAAGCTTCCCTCAGTGGTTTTGTGTGTGTGTGTGTGTGTGTGTGTGTGTGTGTGTGTGTGTGTGTGTGTGTGCGCGCGTGCGTGCGTGCGTGCGTGCGTGCGTGCGTGCATGTGTGTGTGTGTGTGTGTGTGTGTGTGTCCATCTGACAAATGCACATGTACCCAAATTGTATTTGCTGAAAGTGAAGTTCTTGGTTATAATTGATGGTCACCATGTTTAATGGCCTGTATTTAGTATACAGCGCCTTCTTATTGTTCAACAACCCCCCAAGGCACTTTACAACACAATCAGTCATTCACCCATTCACACACACATTCATATGCTGGTGGGGAGGAGCTACAATGCAGCCACAGCTGCCGTCAGAGGCGATGCCTGCCGAACGCTGGCGCCACCGGTCCCTCTGAGCACCTCCAGCAGGTAAGGCGGGTTAGGTGTCTTGCCCAAGGACACAACAGCAGTATTCTCTGGCAGGAGCCAGTATTGAACCAGCAACCTTACAATTACTGAACAGCCTGCTCTTCCTCCTGAGCTACTGCTGTCTCAGATGAAGTGGGGACAGACCAGGAAGGTGTCGGTATATTGAAAAACTTGACCATTAGTTAAGAGATTACTCTTTGTTCTATCAAATTAGGTCATGTTGAGTTTTTGTCCGTAATCCATTTTTTAGTTCTTTTCTTACACAGCTTAGTAAAAAAATATGTATTTACCTGACATGTTTCAGCTAGTAGATCTAGCCGTCCTCAGAAGGACATCAGAACGTACCACGATGCATAAAATGCCAGTTATCAGAACATTATACCACAAAGCACATACAATAAAAGAAGAACAAGACTCCAAACTGGAGGACCGACACATACAAAGCACATCAAAACCCTGCCGATACCCAACATGGGCAATTAAAAAAGGAAAACTACAAACTACAATAGAAAAGAAAAAAACAAACCAACAAAAAGAACCAGAAACACATAAAGACTAGAACCAAAACCAGTAATAACCCTTCCATATATCTACTACGTAACAGAAAAATTTTTATTTATTTATTTATTTATTTAACTTATGTTTTTCAGGAGGATAAACTGCTTGAGATGTAACATCTCGTTTTCGAGCAGGTCCTCCTACAACACAACCAATAACAAATAAGGTGGCAGAGTTAGAAAGTTGTAACAGACTTAAAAAAAAAAAAAAAAGGGAAAGTAAATAATAGTAAAATCAACGATATGTATAAATATATATATATATACACACGTAAATATAAACACATGAGCATGGATACATAGATATCCACACGTGTACATACGTACATACATACCTATATACCAAATTAAATTAAATAAAACTGCTGTGAGGCACTCAAAGAGAAATAAGGGCAAGAAATTACATTGTAAATAAACCTAAAGTGAAGTAGTATCCCAACTGAATACAAAGTTTGGCAACGAAATACAACATGTTAGCCACTGAATGCACAAAATCATCATAGTAAAGATTAAACAAAGCAACTACAGCTTGGCTTTACATAAGCATAAACAGTGCAGGAAATTTTAGGAATTGTTGAGATGGATCTTAATTCAGTGGGTAATTTATTCCAGTCCTGAGGAGCTTTAACACAAAAGGCGAGTCTACCCACCTCCTTTTTAAAACGAGGAACAACAAATGATGGAAGAGTAGTTAAGCGGGTGGAATACAAGGAATCAATGGGAACCAAAAGTGTTTTTAGATAAAGTGGAAAATCAAAATAAATGCACTTAAACATAAATATCAACCAATGAAATTGTCGTCTAGCTTTTAAAGGAAGCCAACCAAGAAGATCATACATATAACAATGATGAGTGTTAAATGAACACCGCAAAATAAAACGACACAAACTGTTATAGACGACATCAAGAGACCGCAGGCTAGAAACTGTTGAGTTTTGGTATAAAATATCAGAATAATCAATGATCGGTAACAGAAGCTGAGTGACGATGCGCTTTCGTACAATAGGTTCAAAGCAAATTATTGAGTTATAAAGGATACGTAAACACCGTGTGACCTTAAGACATGTTGTGTGAATGTGAAATTTAAAAGACAGCTCTGGCTCTAGCCAAACTCCTAAATATTTCATTTTAACAGACGGTTGAACCGCGGAGGAATCCAAAAAATAAAGATTAAGAGTCCTGTCACTGTCAGATAGAGTACTACATCTGTGAAACAGCATGGAGTAAGTCTTAGATTTATTTAAAAGAAGTTTGTTCTGCGCTAGCCAGAGCTGCACTTCGTCAAAATTAGGCTGA